AGAGAGAGAGAGAGAGAGAGAGAGAGAGAGAGAGAGAGAGAGAGAGAGAGAGAGAGAGAGAGAGAGAGAGAGAAAGAGCAGAACCATGATGGCATGGTGTGCATGACATGGGGGGAGTGTGGGGGTGCGTGCAGGCCCAAAATGCCCAGCCACAGACAGACCCAAGCCCATGCAAAACGATGGAGGTCGATGGAGGGCGCAACAGAAAGATGCCAACGTGAGAAAAATTCTGATATACCTCGGTAACTCCCATCCCAGGGTCAGGGGAACGGCCGCGACTGCCACCAACGGCCGTGGGAGCATACTGGAAAGATGCATGGTACCGGTAGGGGCATATAACAAATTCTAGTGCAGGTCCTCAACGGCCAACAGGTAGGGGCATATTGAAAAGTTGGCAGCGGTACCAGTAGGGGCATATTGAACATATTTGAGGCCCAAGTGACGCCGGGGGTTTTATGGAAACTTGAGTCGTTGTCAGAGGGGCAATTCAAAAAAAATCGACCGTCCGATGACAAATCGCAAATAAACGGGAATTTTAGGGGCGTTTCGTAAATTTTTCTATTTTTTTTAAAGGTTAATTCTTTAAACCACCAGTACCTTCGCCAGTGTTGAAAAATTACGTTGTCCTTGCCAGTACCCGAAGTTTTCGGGGTTCGAACACAGGGTCGGCGATGTTCCGAAAATCGTAGTTTCTTTGCCCGTGCACGAAAGAAAAATGAAAATAAAAAAGACATTTGTACTGCAATGATGTCCGGCAGGGTAGTCTAAGAGGCCGTGCTCACAGTCTTGAATGCATCTTACAACAAAGACGGTCACATTCTGAACTTGTTGTTTTTTTTTTCTTTTTTTTTTCTTTTGTTTGTTTTGTGTCCCCTGCCAACGAGGCAGGGCGGAATCCGTGATCTGCTCTAGCTGTGTTTCCTCATATGATTGTAACCCTGATGTATCCAGCCGTTTTCAAGGCCGAATCCGTGTTTCCGTTTTTTTTTTCTTGTTTTCTTTTTCTGGAATATGACAATCTTAATCCGTGATTTGCTCGAGCTGTGTTCCCTCAGAGGATTGTAACCCTGATCACACTGACACTTACGGGAATGCATCTTGCCATTTTCACGACCGAATCCGTGTTCCTGTCTTTTTTTTTTTTTTTTGAGTTTCTCGAATCTGACAACCTGGCCACGGGGCTGAGATGCCCTCAGTGAGGGCACACTCACACTAACACTTCCGAGAATGTATACAGCTGCAATCACGTCCAAAGTTTTGTTTCTTTTTCTTGTTTTGTGAGTTTTCACCGCTGCAATTTTTTTTTATTTTTTTTTTTTTTTTCCCGTGAGAGTACCATAAAGAAATGGAATGGGACCCAGGCTCGACAAAACTCGGAGCGCAGTGAAAATCAGGTTCGGCAAAAACAGGCTCGGAGGTACTGGTGGTAGCCCAACCAATTCAATTACCTGTCAAATCTGGACAGGACGGCCTTTCAGGCCTTTTTTATTGTCATTATAGTATTACGGGGAACCCCGTAGCAGCCACATCCGTGCTCAAGCCTCCACCGAGGGAACATGCGGGAGCTGCACCCACCAGCAGGTGCGATACCTGCTACAGCAGGTGGGCGATACCGGCCAGGGGTCAGCCGGTAGCATCAGGACCGAGCTTCTTCGATGGGCCAGTCACTGTGCCTCCCCTCTGGTACCCTCCCCCTATGAACATCAGCAGTCTCTGCTCAATGCCACTCGGGGGGACCAACGGCATATCTCTAGGTGGCGGGCACCAAGCTTGCCCAGGAAGGTACATGAGGCCAATGGGGATTGAACCCAAGACCTCCTGAATGCCACTTGCGTGCCTTACCAACTGAGCTAGGCCGCTGGATGACTGGTCCTCTTCTGCCCGTACGTGTGCCCGCGGCGATGCACTGGGTGCGGTTGTGTACGTTCGTGTGTGAATGCGTGCGAATGTGGTGCGAGTGTGCGTGGGTATGCGCGGGTTTGTGAAGGTTTCATGTGCGTGGGCGTGAATGTGTGCGGGTGTGTGCAGGTTCGTGTGCGAGAGTGCGCGTGCGCGGGTGTGCGGGTGCGTGTGCGTGAGTGTGCGTGTGGCTGTGGGGGCCGGGGTGCCGCGCTCGTCACACACACACACACACTCACACAAACAAAAACACACAAACAGAGGATCGCGGTGAAACATGAGCTTCTGCCACTTTGTGCTTGTGTGCCGCTCTAGATTGATGTTGGAAGCCGCCAATGGTCGAACCTTCTGTTTTTGGTCGAAGGAGTGGTGAACTGCTTCGGTTGAAAGAGGTAAGCCGCGATCTTATCCTTTTCACTCCTCATCCTCCCTCTTTTGCCCTCGACTCTCTATCTTTCAACATCCTGTCGCAATATCCGTCTGCACCTGAGATGGATTTTGGAAGCCGCCAATTATCGAACCTACTTGTTTTCGTCGAAGGGGCGGTGAACAGGTCCGCGCGAAACAGGTAAAAGCCACGATCTTATCCTTTCTCATCCTCCTCTCTTCCTTCCTCTTTTGCCCTCGACTCTCCATCTTTCGACGGCGTGTTGCAATATCCGTCTGCACCTGCTTTACCCATCTCTCTTCCCCGCGGCGACCTAAGCTCCGGCTTCTTGAGCTCCCGTCATTGCGATCAGCTGTGAACAGCTCCGCGCGAAAGAGGTAAGCCGCAATCTTATCTTTTCTCCTCCTCCTCTTCCCCCTCCTCTTTTGCCCTGGACTCTCGATCTTTCGACATCCTGTCGCAGTATCCGTCCGCACCTGCTTTACCCATCTCTCTTCCCCATGGCGACCTAAGCTCCGCCTTCTTCAGCTCCCGTCATTGCGAGGAATGATGAAGCCGCGATCCTATCCTTTCTCTTCCTCCTCTTCCTCCCTCTTTTGCCCTCGATTCTCCATCTTTCGGCATGCTGTCGCAATATCCATCTGCCGTGAAACATGAGCAGTGTGCTGCTCCCTTGATTCATGTTGGAAGCCGCCAGGAGTCCCAACTTCCTGTTTTGCGTCGAAGGAGCGGTGAACAGCTCTGCGCGAAAGAGGTAAAAAGCCGCCATCTTATCCTGTCGCCTCCTCCTACTCTCTCTTTTGCCCTCGATTCTCCATCTTTCGACATCCTCTCGCAATATCCGTCTACACCTGGTTTACCCATCTCTCTTCCCCATGCCGACCTAAGCTCCGCCTTCTTCAGCTCCCGTCATCGTGGACTCTCCCCCGCCCTGCTTTCCCCCGTCATTTCTTTCGATTTCTCTCAATCACATCGGTGGTTCAGTCCAGACGACCAGCTTATGCCAAGTTATTTTGATTTGTGTTCGTGTGTGACACACGCACACAGCGCGCGCGCGCTCGAGAGAGAGAGAGAGAGAGAGAGAGAGAGAGAGAGAGAGAGAGAGAGAGAGAGAGAGAGAGAGAGAGAGAGAGAGAGAGATGGGTGAGAAAGGAGAATACGAGAGGCTGAGAATTACTTCGGTTTTCTATCAGGGGGCGAGCTGAGGAGGAGGGGTAGGAGTATGTCGTTGCTGACGGCAGAAGGAAGCGGGATGGAAAAGGCGTGAGGGGGGGCAATGGTGAGTTCGCTTCCTATTTCGCTTCACCATATTCCTTCCTTCCGGCTTTTCCCTTCAGTGTCTTCCTCCTACACGTGTTTCTTCTGTTGTCCTCCATGTAATCCTTCTCTTCGCTTCATCCTCCTCTTCGTCAGCCTCAGACAGGTGCAGGAGAGCACGGGAAAGGAATGGAATGGAGAAACGATGATGTTTTGAAGAAAACACGGGTGGACGAAGAGGAGGGGGGAAAGAATATATATGACAGGGGGGTTAGGAAGATGAGGATGCTGATGGGGAGTGGAAAAAGGGGGAGTAGGGGTCTATAGCGATTTCGTTTGTCTTCCTCTTTATTGATAACCGTTTTGCGTTCTGTTTTGTTTGCCATGGTCCCCCTCCCTCTCGTCTTTCTCCTCCTCTATCTCCCTTATGTCATCCTTCTCCACGTCAACTCCTCCACATCATTTTCGCCTCTTTCATCCTTCAGCCTGGGATGCCAATATCACTCAGCCTCGGGGAGAGTGCGAGAAAGTCCATCATCATACTTGCACAGAATTATTTTAGGACTGCTATAAGGCTTTCCATATTTCGTTCCCTACCTCTCGATGTCTGTTTTCCTTTTGTGATCCTTCTCCACATCGTCCTTCTCCTCTGCCTTGGAATAATGCAGGAAATACCTCATCACACTTACGCTGCGATCCTTCTCCACGTCGTCCTCCACATTCACCTCCTGCTTCCTTGCGCTATACACACACACACACACACGGGTTTGGACCGGCAGTCTGCTAGGATTGCAAGGTTGGTGTGAGCAAAGTCGACCACTTTCCTCGGGGGTATCGCTAACTCTGGGCGATGTGGTTGAGTCCTTATCCATCAGTCAAATGCATCCTGGGCAGCCTGTCTGTCCAGGTTCAACCTCCTGATGAGTCGGTGAAAGTCCGACGAAACAGTCTGGTACAGTCAATGACATGCTTTTTTTGAGTGTATAGCGAATATGACAACACACACACACACACACACACACACA